CTTGATCCCCGTCCTTCTCTGTATGCTTTCCTCAAACACTCGTCTTTACGCTTATTCTCGCTCTATGTAACCCCTTACGTGCTAGTGGAACTTTCGGCTTGCTTGGGGTGATATGCTTAAAAAGTCTTTTGAATGGGGAGCTAGCTAACAGAAAGCGACTATCTCACAAGTCAACGAAGCGTTATAAGGACAACCTAAAAGAATCACTGAACATTGCAAACATCAATACTTGTGATGCGAGTTCAGGGTGGAAGGTTTGCTTTCGAGAGTTCTTGCATTGCGAAAGAAAAGCTGAAGAGAAATATACGAAAAGTTTTTCATATAGAACCACCAGACCATATAGCTTACGCGCATGTGAAACTTGTGTCGTCCTGGTTATGACGATAAACTATATCCGGCAGCAAGGCCTCTAATCGGGAGATTTTGAGAAGCGTGGAAGCACCTCTTAATTTCTGTTTGTCTTAGTTCTACCCTGACCCACGTTGGTAGAACCTGCTAGGGCAAATAGTGAACCCCCAAACTGGTGTCAAAATATGAAAATACAAAAATATATTATAAAAAATTACTAGCAATACATTTTCATAGTAAAAAATTTACCAGCAATATATTTTTGGAAAAAAACTACCAAACCTTACAAAATAAAATTTTGGCATTAAATAGCACACAAGGTGTTGACAAACAGTTAAAAAAAACCAAACCAAGTTATGATGGTTGTGATGTTCCTGAAAATTAATTTATATACAAAGTCATCGTACCAAAGTACCAATTACAAAATAAGATTAAGTCACTTTTGCGTAAAAGTTCGTAAGTCAGATTGTAGGTTGAAAAGACATGCAAGTAGTTACAAAATTAATCTAATGATAATTGAATAAATGTTACACATCTCTGTGTGTTACATTTTAGATATTTGTCCGACTTAAAGGGTCATATTCGTTCAACAAACAAAAACTAGGTTTTACAATGATATCTTGTGTTGGTTATAATCAAGAATCAGATGGCAATAGCATAGATAGATAGACATTTCGTACATTGACAGACAACTTGCATGAAAAGAGGCTTTGTGATTTTACATTTTGTTTTACATTTTACAGTGAGTTGTCTCATTTTACACCGTCAGAATATTTCTACACATGTTTTGTATAATAAATATATATATATATATATATATATATATATATATATATATATATATATATATATATATATATATGGTATGCCGTTTGCATGATAACTTAACTGTCAGTGTTTCAATTCTCGGTAGTGGATGCACACTGCTGATGAGTCCCAAATATAGGATGAAACGGCCGTCCAGTGCTTTCTGCATTCTGTTAAGGTTTCTTTCAGACTCGATGAATTAATTAATTATAATTATCAAATCCTCCTAATAATTTCCATCCTTATATATATATATATATATATATATATATATATATATATATATATATATATTGTTTTTAGGTATGCTATGTTTATGGGTTAAAAAGAGTATAGTGCATAGGCAAATATACAATTGGACACTGAGATCAACACCAGCAGGGACATTCTGTTTCATGCTTAAACGCAATCTTCAGGCCATGTATGTTGTGTTTTGGATCGACTATTTATATATGCTGATCAATGATGCATTATGTGTAAGTCTGTTGTGCCAATAGAAAGGTTACACGGTGGGCGCTAACGGTTATGTTTTCAAATTATTGTAGAGTCTATTGAGTAGAAATAATTGTGGATCCGAATGCAGTATTCTGGTTATTTTATAGTGTTGTTTATATATATATATGTGTGTGTGTGTGTGTGTGTGTGTGTGTGTGTGTGTGTGTGTGTGGGAAGAGGTTATAATTGTTCCAACGAGAGAAAAGTGTGTATAATAAAAAGAAGAGAGAACTGCATATTTTGATTGTATTTTTAAATATATTATGCATTATTTTCCATAATTTTGTTACACGAGTTTCTGCCCTCGAGGCCTTCATCAGGAAAAGAGTGGATATTTCCACATATTATTAAAAGGAAATAATTTTTCTTATGTTTTCGATGTTAAATATTCTCGATATTAGACATTCTCTTTTTTGTGTGGTAGTGACCCAAACGTCTTCAGTTAAATATATATAGTTAAATATATATAGTTATATATAGTTTAATATATATAGTTAAATATATATAGTTATATATAGTTAAATTTCCAGGTGAATTCTGTCAGACATTCTCAAGACATGACCAGTCCACCGTAACTGAAACTCTATGAGAAAAGCCTCGATTCCTCCAATATTACATCTGTTAAACAGGCCTACGTTAGATGTCCTATCTTGAAGTTTAACTCCACAGATTGCACGCAGACAGCTTTTATGGAAAACATCCAGCTGGCGTATATGGTACCTTTATGGAGTCCACAACTCTGATCCATACAAAAGTATGGCAAGTACAATAGCTCTGTAAAACCGAATTTTCGTATCCAGTCGAATAGCCCGCTCATTCCACAAGCGATGGCGAAGTTTGCCGAAAGCACTGGTAGTCTTATCAATGCGATTCATGATTTCATCATCTAAAGTTCCACTGTTGTTAACTTTGCTACCAAGATAGGTGACAGACTTTACATAGTTCAGGGCTTTGTCTTCTACTTTCAATGGTCTCTCTGGAAAGTTGTAGACTGGTGGTTTTTGTTTCTCACCACGCATTATAAAAGATTATAATAAAAACATATTGAAATCGCTACATAAAACTTTTCATGTTTCAATACTTTGATTGTATTTCTTCAGGCGATGGTAAGTAACTGGTGATTAAATGATTTTTAAGGAAATTTAAAAAAAAATTGTTACCTCTTTTCCGAAAGTTAAAAGCGGGGGACATAAGGTCATAATTAAAATTAGACTTATGGGAATGTCTTGATTAACCAATTAAATATTAGGTCTGGGCCAAAAAAAAAGCATAATATATCCTCAGAGGATTGAGTTGGGTGAGTTACTTTTTCATGTCATGATAAACTGGAACATAGACAGGCCATCGTTGGCGATTGCGAAAAATATGTCAGCGACGAACGTAACTTGATTGTAAAAAACTATGACATGTTCAATTTTTAAAAGTGTGTTGAAGGGAAGGATAGCTTTATCAGTCGTAAAGTTAAAAGAAAAAACATTTAGATTTTTTTTAATTTTTATATTCAGCATACTTCTTAAAAAGGCCTGTAGATAAAATTTAAAACGTGGAAAATCTGTATAAGATATTAATAATACGGCAATAAATAGCAAAATTAAAGCTGTATAAACAAAATAAGGTACTTAGCCGTAGAGGGTGGACCATTATATATTCATAAATTATGGATATAAGAAATGGTAATTCGTATTTTTTCTTAAAATTTAACAATATTTTAAGGTAAAAGATAACCTGTGTCGGCAATTTACCGTTAATTCACTCCTTTTGAGTGAGCTTTTTTTGTCAGCAATTTTAATTATCTCTAATTTTTCATGTAATCATAAGAAGTACGGTTCATTTAAAGATTTACAAGTTCTATTTTTTTTTTTTAGGATTTTAAATTTTACCATAGCGGATTTATTTACTTCTTTTAAGTTCCAAAATATTTAGAAAGGGACGTCCTATTACTGTACGCATTATTGAAAAAAAATAATATATGTTGGTACCAACTAGTTTTAAATGAATTCTTGGTACTCACGAGATATAAATTTTTTAACTGCTGGATTTTCTATAGTGGAAAAAGTGCTTAGGTAAAAATGAGTGCCTGTTTGACACCTCTTTTTGTAATGGACATTCGTTAGAATTTCTACAATTACATTGTTGGTATTATCTGCATTTATTGGTTTGGAATGGAACTTATTACTCAGGTTTTTGTATTGATTTAAAATTTTATTATTATGTTTTTTAATAATTCTTCCAGATTATCGGTACAGCTACAGCTAAGTTTTAGTGTAGTTCTATTAAAAATCTTACTAAAAGGATTATTTCTGGGGAAGTGCTTCTCAATTAAATAGAGAAATATCTGTCCTAAATTAGTATTAACCATTTGGTTAAATGGAGGTGTATACCAAATGATTTTTCAGCTTCTGTTTTTATTTCTACTATCGCTGTTGTTATATTTGATGTCAGGGCACTTATAGCCACTATTTTTTTTACGCATTGTTATAAAACTTACTATACTTGTAAAAGACATCTTCACTGGAAGAGTTATTGCTAATCCTATATCCTATGGAGGAGGGTATATGTTTGATTACGGTTGGAGGACGGCCAGAATTTGGGTGTATTGGCGCTTAATTTCATGTAAGGTTGGAATATATTATTAACATCAAGGAAATCTACTTCTTTAAATTAGTGTTGATCGCAACTTTTAGTTTGAGACTTTTAAATTCTCTTAATTTCCTGATTTTGTCAGCTTTAGTCTTTGTCGAATTTTTAACCAACGTAAGGCCATCATCTCTATATAATCCTATATTATCAATATTGATATCTTGGTGTGTACTAAGATTAAATAAGATAAATAAACCAACAAGGTAGGAAGACACAGCAGACACATCTAACGATCCCATGGAAATATCGAATCGGTCAACACAGTTGATCTTAATCTACTGTTCTTTGTTATGGATTTAAAAGTCTCAAACTCAAAGTTAAGAGGTAACGATTTGTTTTTAAATTTCCTTAAAAATCATTTAATCACCAGTTATTTACTGCCGCCCGAAGAAGTACAATCAACGTATTTGTGTAGCGATGTCAATGTTTTTATTATAATATTTTATAATAAAAATAATAATAACATATTGCTCTATTTTGTATTGAGCACTTTTTTAAAAGTAAATGCTACGAACAGTGGAACTTTACTCCATTTGTTCTTTCTCTAATTTTATATATATATATATATATATATATATATATATATATATATATATATATATATAATATAAAATACCTAAAAAGGTTTTTCCAGACGAATATAATTATATATACCCCGGTCGTACAAATTACCATCAGAGGCGCGCAGAATGCGTTAAAATTACCCCAATATGCATATACGTGTACACACTCCCATCTCTACAACTATTCGACTTGCATCAACAGAAACCACTTTACACTTGTATTCACATCGCCTGCAATTTTTCTTCCTTTCTTTTTTCTTTTTCTTTCTTTTACCCAAACTTACTTTCCACCATTTTGTTTTCAATTCTTTCCGCCATCTTCCGTTTCGCTTTTATTCGCCTATCTGGACCTGCGTGATGTATCTGTTTCTTTTATTCTTTCATTCATTTGTTTTTCTTATTATTCTTCATTCTTTCTATTTCTTTTTTTTAACCTTTTCTTCTTATATACATTTCCTTCAGATTCTTTTTCATTCTCACAAATAAGGCTTATTTACCTTTACTTTTATTACTAAGTTTATTTTCCTTCTCTTAACATTACTTTAATTATTACATAAAAAGACTTCATTGTTTAATTTTAATATTTTTCAATCGTTACTTTTGTTTATTGTTTCTTTCGTTCATTCTTTCGTCTTTTCATTCGTTTGTATATCTGTTATTACATTCATTATTTTGTTAATATTTTCTTTCGTTCTTTCCTTCTTTTATTTGGATATAGATTTCTTTTATTTGCTTATTCTTTTATTCAGTTCCATTCCTCTTCTTTGATTTCCTTCTTTTATTAATTGTTTAATTTATTTTATTTATTTTTCATTTGTTTATTGGATTCATAATGTTTGTTTCATTCATTTATGGATTTTTTATTGAGTTTTTTTTCTTTTTCTTCCGTTCTTTCTTTCGTCATTCAATTCTTCCAGACATGCGTTCCAGCGTTCGTTCTTATTTTTTTCATTCCTTCTTTTCTACGGTATTCTTTCTTTCGTATTTCTTCCTTTTTTCCTTCTTTCGTTCTGTCTTTCTTTTATCTTTCTTTCTTCGTTCTTTCTTTCTTTTCTTTCTTCTTTTTTCTTTATTCTTTCTTCGTTTCTTTCCTCTTTCTTTCATTCTTTCTTTATGCCACCTTTCTTTCTTCGTTCTTTCTTTCTTTCTTCTATCTTTCGTTCTTTCTTTCTTCTTTTTTTCTTTTTTCTTTGCTTTTTCTTACTTTTTTATTTCAATGATCCATTCTTTCATTTCTTTCTTTCTTCGTCCTTTCTTTCGTCTTTCTTTCTTTTTCTTCTTTCTTTCTTTCGTTCTTCTTTTTTCTTTCTTCGTTCTTTCTTTCTTTCATTCTTTTTTCTAGCATTCGTTTTTTTCTTTCATCCTTTTTCTTTCTTCGTTCTTTCTTTCGTCTTTCTTTTTCTTCTTTCTTTCTTCATTTTTCTTTCTTCGTTCTTTCTTTCTTTCGCCTTTCTTTTATTTCTCTTAGCTTTCTTTCCTTTTTTCTTATTTTTACGTCTTTATTTCAATGATCCAATCTTTCATTTCTTTCTTTCTTTCTTTCTTTCAATATACACGTTCTTACCCTTCTTACATGACTCTTTTCTCAGTCATCTCTAAAATCGATTTTCCAATTCATCTTATATCTTTCATTTTCCTTTTTCTTTACTTTCTAAGATATCTTCCCTAATAAATCATTTCTTTATTTTCGCTCCCCCCTCTCTCTCTCTCTCTCTCCTCTCTCTCTTCTCTATTCTCTCTTTGGCATCATTCAGTCTTCTACTCATTCAATGAACTCTTCACTTCCGCCATCGTTCTCACTTCCGTTCGGCCGACCCTTTACATCCGGGACAATGGATCATTTACTGACATTAAACCATCGCATTGGTCACTCTGTGACAATAGATGTCAATCAAGTTGCATGGTTGCCAAAGAGAATCAGGTACACACTTGTCACACTATGGAACTCTCTCAATGACATAATCCTCTCGTTTTGTTCCTTTCAACCTTCAATCACACGATGAAGCGGTGCAAACGTGCAAACTCTTTTATAGCTGCCTTGTTTACAGGCTCACACCGTCCAGCGCCATATTGCCAAGGAGGAGGTCTTAAGAGAATTAATAGGAAACAATTTGCCTGTCATATTTTCATAAGCGTCGTACCTGGACTGAACTATCGCTATGGTTAAAAAAAAATAACGCTTTATTTGAATATAATGTTCACTTTTGAAATAAATAAAGAGAAGATACTGTACGTGAATTTGATTGCGAATTAAAAAGAGCATTTATTACACGCAATATATATATATATATATATATATATATATATATATATATATAATTATTCGAAAATTATAACATAAATATTTTATAAAATCACTACAAAAATAGCCATTTTGTTTCAACACTTCTGGTGTCTTATCCAGGGATGATGTTGAATGTAGAATAAAGTGTAAATACTTTACAACTGGATCTCCTTCCTTTTCAATGTACTTAACAAAAACTTTCGACACTAATCATAAAAAATCGATTACACAATGAAAATTTCAGAACAAAATTCGGCTTGGAATTATGGCAGGATACGGACTTAGAAAAAACTGTGTACTTTATATTAAAAGACTACTGAAAAGAAGAAATGGGCATTTGTTTAAGGTTGAGCGTATGGCTATTGCGTAAATGCACTTCAAGGCATTAACGATAGATAGATAGATAGATAGATAGATAGATAGATAGATAGATAGATCGAATTAAGTGCTATTGACACTTTAAACACCTTCCTGACTTTAAATGTAACATCTATCTATCTATCTCAGTATGTCCATATCTATCTATCTATCTATCTATCTATCTATCTATCTATCTATCTATCCCTGTCTGTTAATTATCTATCTATCTATCTATCTATCTATCTATCTATCCCGGTCTGTTATCTATCTATCTATCTATCTATCTATCTATCTATATGTTAATAATCTATCTATCTATCTATCTATCTATCTATCTATCTATCTATCCCTGTCTGTTAATTATCTATCTATCTATCCCTGTCTGCTATCCATCTATCTATCTATTCCTCTCACTTTATTATCTATCTAGTCCAAATGTGTCGTTACCAATTCTGCTATGGACGTCGAATTGACAGAGCCAGTTTCAAATTACCTATTTATGAATGCACATTTCTCGTTGCGACTTCGGTGAATCTCTATGTGACAGATGCAGTTTTGTACCTGAAACCTAAACAGCAGTAGTTTGTGAATGAATTTATTGTCCGACATTTTTTTCTTTACTACTATAAATATTATTTTTACGTTGTTCACTTATTTGAGTCTCCTTGTACTAAAGTGGGATAGTCCATTGCTTGGGCTGTGATTGGCTGCTGGTACCTGAGTGGAGGTATTTCTATATAAATACCAGCTTGATTCATCAGTTAGTTTGCAGGGTTTGTATTAAGTTACAACCTGCTTTATTTTTGTCTGCCAGCTGGACGCTAGCTGGGACCTTTACACCGGTAAGTGTTGTTTATTATTGTTATTCTACAATTGTGGTCGTATTCGTAGTTGACGTTATTGAATGTTAGCTTTTTCTTTTTCATTAACAATCCCCTTATTTTTAGCACTGTGTTACATGTGGATAAGGCTATTATATCTGAATTTTATAAGAGTATATTGCCCATGGATTTTGGTAAGTCTCTAAGTGTGTTTAAATAAGTCCTAATTGAGTTATAGTCAAAGAGATGCAACCTGAGTCTTCTTGATAGACATGTAGTGGTATGCCAAACATAATTATTCACGAATTTGGTTTGATCAGAAAAGCAGTTCCTTAAAGTAGATGTAAATTAAAAATGATATTGGTCCTCTGGAAATTGGATCGAGCAGATGAGTTGTTGTTGCCTATAAATTTAGCTGTTTTAAATTTTTGTTTTAGTAGATAATTTAATTTTATTGTTCTGGTCGATTGGGTTTGTGTATTTCCTTATAATGTTTCTAAGGGAAAATTCATCCTGTCTATAATTAACGTGCATTTGATTTTTATAGAAAATTTTAATGTTATTGTTTTATCTGTATGTTCATTGTTGCTACTGGTTAACTAGGAAAGGAATAGCCTTATTGGTGATCTATGAGGTACTTGAGAAAACTGTTATTGATTAGCGTTTGTTTCGGGTTGTTCTTTAAGGAAAAGCAGACAGGATGAATTTTCGTACCCTCGCTTGAGGAAGTTTTTTTTTTAACACCTAATTTATATCTATGTGGACATTCACTTTCAAAATTAAAATAGCAAGATTTTCTATTTGTATTTTTTTTTTTTTTTGTATAACGAATTAGTGAACGTATTATTACTAGAATGGGGTTTATTTTTTTGACTAAATTCATAGGTAAACTCAAGGGCAGTTTTTGTTTCAAATGTAGTTTTGAGATTATCAATTTCTTTTTTGTCTTTAGCTAAAATAAAAATATCATCTACATGGCGGACATATATTTTTGGTTTAGTAACATACCTCATTTTTGACATGAAACATAGAAATTTGAGAAGCACGGTCCGAGTGAATTTCCCATACTAACGCCCTTGAGTTTGAGTGTAAATTCGCTGTTATAGAAGGAGACTTGAGTTGTGCATGTGTGGAGTAATTTTCTGAGAATATTAAGTTTGATGGATGGAGATGGAATCAAGTTATGTTTATGAAGAGAACTACATAATTATATCGGTTGTTTCATCGCCAGAGAAAGGAATAATGAGAAAAACAAAAACAAAAAAAAAGCATTTCTATCACTCCAGATACATAAAGAAAAATCTACAAATTCAGTTAAAAATTAAAATACAAAAAAACAAGCATCTTTGAAAATGGCTAACAGAGTAGATGAAAGCACTCGTAGATGTAAAACATTTGAACAGTTTTTTTACGCATTTTATGTCCAGAAAAGAAATCGGTTCTACAAAGAGAAAATAACTTTAGGACAAAAGTAGGGTATGTCATGTGCTGTGTCATGGGTCCTTACCTATAACTACAGAATGAACTCTTCCTAACACTATGTATACTACGCCTCTCAAGTGAGAGGGACGAATCGAGTCAAGCCGTTTAGGCTTGACGGTCAAACTCTCTGCCTCTCAGCAGAAAGGAACCCGGACAAGGCTCCGCCGAAGGGCAGAGTCTTGTTCGGAGAGGTTGACCAACCCGATCCCGTTTATACGGGTTCTACGGGCATTTTTGGCCGAGTCTACGGGCTCGGAAAACCCACGTAAAACTCGACCTTGTGCCACATCTTTTCCTCGTGGGTGGGGAAGTAAATATCGAATCGAGTCGAGCCGATAGTAGTTCACTCCAAACCAGACTGACAGTCATACTATCACCTTCCACATCTTGTATTATTATTTCGTGTAATATACCTTCGTTATTTCTACTCTTGTGTTCGTGTTGTTCTTCCTTGGTCCTGGGCCATAACAATGTTTTTGTTTCCGTTTTTTTTTTTTGTAACTATATATGGGTCAGAAGAGAAAGTACGCTGAAATTTTAAACTTTTAAATTCATTTACTTTCTTAATTAACAGTCTAGCAAATTCACTTATTTAATTTTTTCTTTATCTTATACTTTTATCGATTTTGTTTTTAAGTATCCTACAAAAAAGTAAATTTAAAAGATTAAAATTTCAGCGTTCCCTCTCATTGGTACGTATATGTAAAAAAAAAAATTTAAAAAAAGCTTTTATATATATATATATATATGTGTGTGTGTGTGTGTGTGTGTGTGTGTGTGTGTATTATAATTCTGCTTGCTCCTTCCTTAGTTAACACTACCGTTACGTCCTGCTAATAGCTCATAAATAACGTGATATTCTATTTTCATCACATGGATGACCGAGAAGACATATGTGACGGCACTTGGTCCAGGGTCGAATCCTTTGGTCACGGCGCCAACGGTGACGTCGCTCCTCCGGGTCGCTCCTTGCTGCCCCAAGTGTGACGTTCCAACCCCTTGGTTAGATGATTACCAGCCTCGCCTTTCCCAACTCGCTTCCAACACCTGGTTACCAGGGTAACTGTACTGATCTCCGGTCTGCCCACCCACGTTGTGATTAGATCTTAGACAGGCGGGATCAAACAGGGATTGGGGCCGTATGCAAGCTGAGTTCGACGGGGTGGCAAAACACAAGTAAAAGAAAAAACTCACGAGACCAAAAATTACTGATAAAAATAGGTAACAACTTTTTTTATATCTAATGTTCGTTACATAAAAATTATTCTTACTTCCCGACCCGCTTTGTGGACTGTGGCACCAATCTTCTATCATACAACTTAAAGACTTCGAGTTGCCTACTCTCTAGAATTTTGTGTGTCGGAGTGTGGTTTAGTTTTGACACTGGGCGCTAATCTCTACCAGTCGTTCACGGCTGATTCTTCTCTTCGGCTTGAGTTGGACGTATTTCTTCACTTCGATTTGGTTTGAGACGAATTTCTGTTCTTGGGCTTGGTTTGATTTCAACTTCTTCTATGCATAACTGCAAGTAACTTCTTCTTCTTCCGTCCTGCAACTCTTCTCTCTGCCGTCTGAGGTGATCTGAGCTCTCTGTCGTCCGGGGCTGAACTGAGCTCTCTGTTTGGCCTGCAACTTTACTGCCTGTCTGGCCTGCAACTCTTCTCTCTGCCGTCTGAGGTGGTCTGAGCTCTCTGTCGTCCGGGGCTGAACTGATTTCTGTCGACTGGGGTCCTGCTTTTATTGACGCCGCAACAAACTGGGGTGGGTCTGTCGGCGTCAGGGTTTTCTCGATAATTCCAAAGTCGCATTACTTCTGATTTCCCATTATCGCTCTTATTTTCACCCCTAATTCCTCCACAGTGCCTCTGGTGGGGAGGCGCATACCCATCTCTCCCGGTCTCTCGTATGTCAGGTGACCGTTTTCGACCAATGGGTCTTGATCGAGCGTCCTTTCTCCTCTTTCTCGCATATCCGTGACCGCTTTCGGCCAATGAGATTCTGGTTGGGCGTCTCCCGTACTTCGTGACGTCTCCAATCGGGCGTGGCTTATCCCGTCGTTGTCCTGGGAAAGAACACCTTGCTAAAAAAAAAACAAAATCTAATTTGGCCTTTTTCGCACGTACGAAAAATGACAATCTCGGCCTTCTCACCTTCCTGGTCTCTGTCAAAACAGCCCGCCGCTAATTAGATGTGACTTCAGGAAGAATTTTCTCCGTCTTACTGGCGCTCTCTGTGAGCCAAGAACAATCGTTTTTTCACCTCTTTGTTTTTGCTCAGACCTGATAGTCAAAAAATCTTAATTATCTGAATTGAAAATGTCTTCACTTCATCATCGTGGGGTTCCAATTTTAACAGGTCAGAATCTGTATACAATTCCAGCGGTCACCTTCTCATCCCAAAAAGACACCTTTCTCCGATTAATATTTCGTTTTCCATTGTTCTAAATATCCCATTTCTCCAAATTGATAATGAGTCTTCTACACAAAAGTAAGCCAGATGCTTTGACCGACATTTTTATCAATCGTACATATGTTCATACACTTTTACCAAGCCTGTTTTCTTTCTTTCTTTTAATTACCTTTAATTCTATTCTCCCAAATAACAATCTCCATTGTCACTTGAAATTCGGTCGGGCGCGTTGGCCTCTTGACACCTGTTTTCGCTAATGACCGACCTTTTGCATTACTCATTTTCTTTTTCTTTTTTCCTTCTTTTTTTTCTTCCCTTAGGATCGCCTAAGTACAATTAGAGAATTATTCTAGAAACTCAATTATTCTTCGTCTAAAAAACTAACAACTGGTTAATAAACCGAATAAAAAAAATTAAATCATATTTCTATGAATATTTCTTTTCTTTAGTTTTTTTTCTAATAATGCAGGGTGCCACACATATCAGACACGCTACTAGGTTTCAGTGGGAAAATGAATGAAAGAAGGGATGAAACAAATGTTTAATGTCTCCCGCCCTTTCTTTATTAATAACTGTCTATTCCGTTATGATCGCCTGGAAAGAGAGGAAAAGACGCTACTTGGTTTCAGTGAGAAATATTTAACGTCTGTTGAAAATAAGTTTTCCTTTTGTGTATCTTCATATATATATATATATATATATATATATATATATATTA